TTTTTTCATGAAAAAAGTGTGCCTTTGCACAAAAAAGGTTGAAAAACACTGGTTCAGAGAACCAGTAAGTACCACCTCTGACTGGCCCCACCCCATCTATTCTCTGCCTTCCAAGACCAAGTTGATCAGGAGGGAATGGGGATTTTGCAGTAACCTTTCCCCTGGAGTGGAGAGGGAATGCAGATTTTGGCAATAGCAGTTAAACTTATATACCGCTTCATAGGGCTTTCAGATTTTACAGTATCGTTCCCCTGGAATAGGGTGGGAATGGAGATTTTACAGTATCCTTCCCCTGCCATGCCCACCAAGCCACACCCATCAAGACATGCCGTGCCCACCAAGCCACGCCCACAGAACCGGTAGTAAAATTTTTGAATCCCACTACTAATGCTCCTCTTCCTATCTTTGAAAGTGCAGAAATACACTTCAGCAATTGAGTTACAGGGATCAACTTATCTCTGGTTCCAAGGTAGGGCAAAAGTCTGATATTACTTGGCCATCTCTCACTGGGAAACATTTTAGACCAGACCTAACCAGATGTGGTCCCAATGAATGCAATTAAGATATTTAAGTACTTTGTGTGCCCCCTGCTTATGTGCCACCGGGTTATTGACTCTTAGTGATCACATATTTTTTTCCAACATGCCTGTCCACAGGGCAACCCTTCAAGTCTTCCAATGATGCACCCAGGGCTATTGTAAGAGTCTATCCACCTCATAATCTTATAATCTTTCACTCTAGAAAACTCTTTCAAAGTTCCAGCTATACAGCATTGCACATTTCTAAAAGTCAGTAAAAGAAACCTTTATATTAAACAGAGGAAAGCAAAACCAGTGTTGCTCTAATAATTACAATGCCACATACCAGTATTATAACTCACCTCTTGGTCAATGCCATTTTAATAAGGGAAAAGTAATACAAATGATTCAGACAATGAAGATGCATTTCATGTTTCATTCTTTTATCTGATTCCTTCTGTTAATTAAAAAAAAAAGTCAGATTTGCATTAATTGGCCTATTTGTTTTTGGAACCCTGGCTTTATCTTAATGCCGTTTATTAGAGAGAAGACAGGGCACCGAGAAGAAACTGACAAAGAATTTCAAACAATTTATGTCTTCACTTTATTGTTCTGCTGACTGCTCAACCCCCACTGCACAATTTAGATATTTTTTCCAAAATCAGCATGCAGTGCAGAAATTCAAATGAAAGCATCCCAATCCAGCTTCTACTGGATCACATCCTATCAATGAAAGTCCCTGCCTACTCCATTGTTAAACTCACTGTTTGGAAGCTCTTTCTAATATTCCATTAAAATCTGTCCTTCTGTGACTTAAAAAGATGGTGCCAGGTTCTGCCCTCTAGAATCAAAGACAGTTTTAATGTTCTTCCAGGTGACATCTTTTCAATTACTTGCTCTCACATTCCTTACCAGCACCAACATATAGTATAGTTACTATATACATATGTATATACTAACTACTGTATATTCATAAATACACACACACACAGACACGTGTGTGTGTGTGTGTGTGTTTGTGTGTGTGTGTGTGCTAACCAATAAAATAAGGCTAGTTTGTGTGGGTTGTAGTCAGTGGTGGGATTCAGACAGTTCGCACCACTTCGGGAGAACTGGTTGTTAAGTTTCTTAGCAGTTTGGTGAATGGTTGTTGGAAGAAATCATTAGAGAATCGGTTGTTAAATTATTTGAATCCCACCACTGGTTATAGTATCTCACATAGTATTCATGAGTTCAGTTGAAATCTTACCTCAATCATAGATTAACTGGACAACAAGAGGAAGCCAACTTTGACTTCCATGTGCCCTGTGAGAGTAATAAAATATTGACTCTCCTTAAAGTATATGATGTAGTGGATATTCTAAAATTGTGTTTCAAGTACATGTCTTCCTTCCCCCCTCCTCTTCTTTTCACTATTTTGACATGAAGAAGCTATGACAACCCTGTTTGAAACATATTCAGTGGCCTACTAGAAAATTATGGTTTAAATAGCTATTAGTCAAAATAGGAAACATATCCTTATGTAACATCTATTAGGACTATTTCACATTATTATTGATCAGAACCTTTATAAAAAGAGGTATGTTATATATTTCATTAAGCTACCTAACAGAGGAAAACACTCCATCTGGTTCCACCACCTTCCATATTCTGCTTTGTCCTTGTTAATGTTAGTTCCAAATACTTTATTGAATAAAAATGGTCAGACCATCTAACAGAACTTTAAATAAAGAATAATAAATGCATTTTTCTATTGTCTCTAATGTCACTAATAAACGTAGTGTTAAAAATCTATTCCTTCATACATTATGACTGATTCATCCAGACTCTAATATTTTCAGTTTTTGTTGCAACAGAACCACATAACCATGATTCCATAACATTATATACAATGATGGCATATAAATATGTGTTAGCAAATTTATCTCCTTTTCCTGTTGAAAAAAGATGAAAAAAGTGTCCATTTGAAAAAAACTTTAAAAATCCATGAAACAGATTTCAAAAGAACAGAAAAGGGCAGTCAATGTAAGGCAAGGTTTATAGCCCTAACAGGGAGATAACCAACAACCTCACTCTGCTATGCATAATTGATTGGGAAGCTTGATTGTACTCTCCCGAAGCCTAAGGCCAGAGAATAAAATGCAAGTGGGAAATGGCATTTTGAATAAAGACAATGTTGACACAAAGCTGGAGCCAGCCTCTGTATGATTAAGGATGCCTTCCTAAAAGCACCTTTCTCCAAAATTCAGTGACCTTTGGCCTTCTTTACAAGCAGAGCTATATTTTTCTACTTTAGGTAAGAGCTCAGTAGGATGAATTGCTGTATCCTGTTTTCATCAGTCCTGAAAGACCTGGGTTAAAGGTAAATCTAAGGATGTTTGCAGGACACAATTTTGAGCTATTCTTAGCAAAGTTTTAATGGTACTATGCCCAACTCAAAGATGGCCATCTCTGAAGGAACAGCTAGCTTGAAAAAGCAGCTAAGTCCCAAGAGCTTCAGATAAGAGTGTGAAACCTACCCCTCCCCTTGACTTTGTAGTTCTCTAATCACCTTAAGTAAAGAAGACTTGTGAATCTCTTTGGCAGGGAGGAGCTGATGGCCCAGTAGCCTACCCTTCTTGTGTAGACGCCTTCCACCCAGCCTTCATTACAAAATTATCATAATAAAGGGCAGTGCTTCCTTTCAGTTCTCAGCTTGATCTTGAAACTTCAGAAATTCTTCTTCATACTGTAAAACTTTGGCTTCTCTCCAGGTGAAGAATAAAAATAAATAACCCCACCCCCACCTCCGTACACAACACATGCATATATACAAACATAGCCACTTCCATCCCACAGTTGCAATTTGGGGATAGAAGGATTGGGGGGGGGGTAGGACAATGCAAACCTGGTGAAGAGGAGCTGAAGAACATACCACCTGCTGAGATTTCAATGGCTCCCCTTGCTTTTTTCTCACATCAGAAAGCAGGAACTGCAGAGGGGGAGAAGGAGAGGTTTTAAAAATTCTTATAAAATTTCAATCAACCTTAAGACATGTTCCTCTGAAACATATAATAAACAAACCATAAAATGGGTTATTCCCTATAACACATAAATATAGCTGTAGATTTGATCGGCATTTATTGCAGTATAAAAACTAATTGCATGATACAATAATGATCAAAGGCGTAAAAAACCACCCCTGCCTGGTGATAAATTATTTGGCCTTCTACTGTATTGCATTTAATACTTTTAAGTTCTGCTAACTGTACACTAGAGTATTGTCTGATTTGGGAACTGATGTTACTATACTTCTTTTTGGCCAAAATGAAAATTGGCACTTACAATAAATGACAAGTCCCATTTTATTTGATGGATATTTACATAGTGAACATTTTATAAATTTTATGTTACTAAGCTTTTTCCTTCTTTGAATGTTTTTGCGTTCCAAGATGGAAATATTCAGGCCATTGACTTAGAAGGACAAATAAGACATTATATTAATTGGTTTTTTTATTAATACAGTATTTTAATGCCACCAGTTTAATTTGGAAGAAAAAAAAAATTCAGAGTCCTGATCTAGACTCGGTTTCCTGATTCAGACTATAGCTTTGGATCCCTAGTTACAATTAGCTCTTGAAAACTTGGTTTATAGGATATAACATGTCAATCTAAATCAGCCTTCTCCAATCATGCACCTTCCGGACATATTGGGATGCATCTCCCAAAATTATCACACAAACCAGAGAGGATCAGTGAATGCACACATTGCTAAATATTATGCTCCTTTGTAAAGATTCAGATAGTCCTTGGTTAATAATGCTAATTGGGACAGGAATTTCTGTTGCTAAGCAATGTGGTCATAAAATTCAGTCTCATGTGATCACATCACTTAGCCACAGCAATCCTCGCAGCCCCCATTGCTGTCATTAAGCAGATCACACTCGGTTGTTAGGTGATGATTCACTTCGATCCAAGCCATTCCCAGCTTGGTCCTTGAAGCCTAAAGCCTTAGTAAGCTGCAGTAAGACTGCCTCCTCTTGAATTTCTCCCATTCACCTATTACCACACCTCTCTCTTTATGGCTACCCTGCATAGCGGCACTCCTCAGTGGGGGAGGGGTCTAAGTGCTGAAGTAGAGCTGGTCTCAGCCAGCTGCTGCCCCCCCCCGACCTCTACTTTAGCCTGAGCATTGCTGACACTGCCATTGCAATGAATGCTGCCCAGCTTCATGATGCAAAGTCATAGCTACACCAGTGCCAAGCCTAGCTCTAACTTCAGCACCCCTGCACCCTGCCAGCCTTATGCTCTGCCAGCCCTGTCACCCCAAGTTGACCTTTGCCAACTTCTTCCATCCTCCCTTCTAGAAGTATCCTTGATTACTGAACATCTGTTCAGCAAACTGCTCAAAGTTGTGACAGTGCTGAACAAGTGGTACCTACAATCTGTTCTTGAAGTTCCAGCTATTAACATGCCTTCACAGTCATGGGTTTGCAATTCAGGCACTCGGTAACTATCTCCCACAATGATTGTGGTGCCCTGTGGAACTGACAAGTCAGCAGGGAAGGTCGCAAGTCACTCTGGTAATTCCCCATCCTTGGCCTTCCTGCGCATTGCGCTGCACCCTCCCTTCCTTGGCTTCCCTACACTCATACCTTGCCACATCTGTTAGGCTTTCCAGGTAAATTAGACAGGAAACAACTAGATGGGCTAATTCTTCTTTATTGTAAGCCTCAATTAATAGAATCTTGCTAGGCTAAATTAATAGAATCTCGCAAGCCTGAGGACTCAAACTTTCCGCCACCAATAAAATAGTCTTTAATTCCCAACCAATAACTCTTCTATCTTCTACATATTGAGGTTCTGATCTTAATCCTACTTCATTTTCTCTGTTCCTGCATTAAAAATTCCTGTGCATTATAACATCAATGCGGGTTGCGAAAGCTGCAGAGCAAAAAGAAGGACAGGAACTTTGCCCCATTAAATTCAGTGAGAAAGATCTGGCGCTGTTACATTCTTACCCACTGAAATAAAGGAGCATCACAGTTCACAATAAACTGGAATGTGAAGAGAATGCCAATTTTATTTTTTGTTACGTGCACAGATGTGGCATATTTTTTAAAGTGGTGCATAAAGTCATAGATGAATAAATACCCCTCCCTTCCTATAGCCTTTCTGCTATAGGACAGAGCTTGCTAACTCAAAGCCAGGGCAAAGTTTGCAGTAAGCTTTTTCAGTCACAGATTCTCAGCGAGGGTATAGATCCTCACCTTCATGCATTTCTTCTAAAGCAGAAACCCCAGAATTGTGGTAAAATTGAAATATTTAATGAGCAAGCTAATTTATTTCATGCATGGGGAATATTTTAAACTGCATTAAATACAATTAAAATCAATCTGTCGTTTCCCTCCCCTCTTTTATTTTCCTATTCTAGATAAACTTTTTGGAGTGTGGCCCATTGCATGTCACTCAAGTATGTCCATGGAAGAAGAGAGTGTAAAAATAGTGACAGCTCTCTGATCAAAGTCTTACCCTGTTTTATAGGTTTCATATGATTGTGGCTATCAAGGTAACTTTTTTCACCCCACCCTCTGATGCTACCTCTTGATGCCATTTAAACATTAGTTTTCTTAAACCATTGATCTAAATAGTGAATTAGGTCAGTAGGTACCTAGAAAATGTTTTAAATACAATATTTTATTTATTTAGAAGATTTATATGGCTGCCCACTCATTTTCATTAATTCTGGGCACCTTACAAAGAATAAGTGAAATGTGCTTTGTTTCAGGTTAGGGGTGAGGTTTTGTATTTATTAAAGATACTATTGAAGAATTTTATTTTTTTCGTCGGGTTTCAAATAAGTCATTTCTTTTTAAATATGCTCCAAAATTGACACTATTGAATTCATGTGATCTGGCATGAAAGTGGAGCAAATATTTAATTTTCTTTCACTAGATTCTACACTAAAGTTCTTTACGGTAGCTCAGTTGTGCCCATTTTATTTGGATGATTAGCATCATTATAAAATACTTTTCTCCAGTTACATGTTCAAGTAACTGTTATGATATCTGCAAAAAAAAAGATATGTATGCTTCAGTGTACACTGTTTGTATAGTGTTACATCAATTTTAAAAGAGTCTTTAAAGGGTTTTTGGTTTGCAACTGCATTTCATTTTTTAAAAAGATATTTATTTTTTAATCTTAAAAAAATTAGACTGATTTTCTCCTTTTCAACACAAAATGGCATTAGCTCATGGAATTTAAAGAAATTTAAACATTTATACCATTTCCCACATCTTCCTGAATAATTCAAAAGCTTAAATTTGATAGAACTAATAACTTATTGCAAAGGCAAACTATGGAAAGTTATTTGTTGCCTTAGAAACCCTCAGCTCTGGATTTCCTGCCTTCTGGGTGAATCCAACTTTACTTGTAAACATTACATCAATGTTGTCCTTTGCTCACGATGAAATATAGGGTTAGCTTTTAGCTAGGAAAATGTTATTGAAGTTTCCCTCAATTTCCATTTCCCTCCATCTGTACTTATATGGGAAAACATTTCCACGCACAAGCAAAAAGAAAGGGACCCTACTGCCATATTTTTCTTTTCCTGCAAAAAGGCTGCAGATATCTTAATGTACCTGAGACAACTAATTTAAGAAGGAAGTGGTCAAAGTCATTCTTCTTTGTAGACTTCAAAGGTGATCCCCTCGCCTTCCTCCTCTTTACATTTTACTGTCTGTCTCTCTGCAGCTGTCAGCTTACCCTGAGAGTTTCATGGCGTCAAACCTGCCTCCTCCTGCTCCATAAAGTGACAGTCTTGGTTTGGTGGAATGCAGGTGTAGGAAAGGGGAAAGACCAAGATGAGCCTGCTAATGATTTCTCTGACACCCCATGCTGGGCTGCTAAAGAAAGAAATCTATGCCCACTTCTCTTTGTTTGGTCAAATATTCTAGGCTCTGCTGCCTTTCCCTGCTGCAAAGGAGCTTTTTTTTTTACAATAGGGCAAAGGCTCTATGCTAAAACGATGGCATCTTATTCAAAGTTTGAAAACTCTAAGGCTTTAATTAGATACTGAAGTGGAGACAGGCAGCACCCAAGCCTTCTATTTTCTTGATAACTAAGCAAATGCTTCATTCAGGGTTTTAACCCCATTGCAGCTTAGATTGGTTTGAAGAATGGAAGAAGTCATCTGCTTTCCCGGGGACATCATACATATCTTGCTTCCGGGCCAGCAAAAAATTAGGGTCAAGAGTTTTCATTTCATCACTATAAATGTTCTATTGTATTCCGCTAGTCCTCTTGATTTCGGTTTACATTCAAGTAAACACAACGAAGCTAGATATGGGTTGTATGTAGATTCGAATTTTCCTCCCTGTCTTCTAGATATGGATTTTAAAAAGGAAGCAAAACATCTGTAATTGAAAACCCATTTACTAATCACTAAGTCACACTGCAGACAAAGCTATCCTGCAAGTAAAAAAACAATTGCATTGCATGTGTCTGTGAAACCAATGGAATATATTAGCCATGATTAAGTAGAGTTTTCCCTTTTGTGGAAAGGTAATAACCACCACTCAGCTAGGATGGTTATATTTTATTCATACTGAAAAATCTAATCTTGCTGTGGATGGCATGCTGAACTAAACTAAATCAGGGAGAATTAAATTAGCCTGATGTTCCATTGGCAGTATGTTCCTCTAAACTAATAATGAAAAAAACCCAGGCATTTAAAATATTTTCAAACGTTCTTTTAGATCCCATGCTTTAGAAAATAAAGCGCAGTTGAGTTCGTTTAAAAAGACTAAAGAGCATACATTGCAAATGGTGAAGATTGCTTAATGTGTTTATATGTCTAGAAGTGAACACTTTTAATAATATCTCAATGTAATGCAATTCAAAAAAAGATTCTAAAGTAGTTGAAGGCAGAAAATAAGTAAACATTATAATGTAAGCCCCACAATAAATGTAATTCCATTAAAAAGAAAAAAAACTATCAGTTTGTTTCCCAGCATAGCCCAAAGTATGTGCAATTTGTATTGTTATCCTACCCACAGTAGTTCTTGCCTTTCCTCAGTGCACTGGATATGACACCTGGTACCAAAAGTTTTTTTCCCCCCACAAAATTCCACAATTTACGCAGTGCAGGTTTACTGGATTTCAGTTCCCATAGTCTCCAGCTAGCATAGCCAAAGGCCATTAGGACTAGGTATTATAGGAACTGATCCAACACATCAGTAAATAGATTTGCTCTATGGAGGGATAATACAATGCACCCAATCCTTTATTAATGGAATAAATTTTTCCTTCACTAAAGGAGTCTGCTCTCAATTAAAATACATTTTCCACTAAGACCAACCTGTGAGGATTATCCAATTCCTCCTAGATATTTCTGCTGCTTGCTCTCCACCACTGATCACATGCTCAATTTTTTGGTGGGCTGCAGAATTTACATGCTCTGAGCAGCTTAGAACATCTTGCCAATGACAAAATTTGCAAGGCTGGGAATTGGGATTGAGATGACACCAGTGACGTGCGGTGAGCTTTATGGCTGGTGAGGCAGCAATTTTTTTTAGACTTGTGGACTTCAACTCCCAGAATTCCACAGCCAGGCATGCTCAGTTCCGATTTAAAGCAACAACATTTTTCCCCTTGCAAAATAATTTTTGCAAGGGGGAATTTTTCCCATTCTTTTTTTTCTCCCTCCCCCCTTCCTCCCTCCCTCCCCCCTCTCTCAAACACACACACACACACACACACACACACACACACACAC